TCTCAAAAGTCACTCCAACATAGCTGCACAGCACATTGACAGAATTGTCTCTGCCTTTTACCCCACCATGCTTCTCTCCCTCTCACTGCTCCTTTTGTGGCCCCTCTTTTCACCATCCAATCCATCCATGCTCACTAACCCTCCTCCCTTCGTACCCTCCTCATTTTTCTCTCCCGCCCATCTCCCCTCACAATGACGGCAATGGTGGCGATGGTGGCAATGGCAGAACGAGGCGGTGGTGAACTATGCATTGAAGAAGCGTGACATTAAGGTGGTGCCCTGCGGACTCGACTTCGGCAGACCCGGGTACGTGCCGTGCCGTGCCGTGCTCAGCTGAGCCAGAGCCAGAGCCAGAGCCAGAGCCAGAGCCAGAGCCAGAGCCAGAGCCAGAGCCAGAGCCAGAGCCAGAGCCAGAGCCAGAGCCAGAGCCAGAGCCAGAGCCAGAGCCAGAGCTGAGCTATCTCTAAGGGAGGCAAAAGAGTCGACACAGTTTTCTTCACTTCACACATGCGTGTGTGCTAAGGTTCTGTGTGGGCTCCATAGCATCCGGGTGATATGGATGCTTCTGTGGAGCCCACACAGCACCCGGGGACATTAAGGTGGTGCTGTGCTGTGCTGTGCTGTGCTGTGCTGTACTGTGCTGTGCTGTGCTGTGCTGTGCCGTCTCGACTGTGGCAGGCCAGGGTGGCTTTTTGAGTCGACTCGCTCACCTCACACAGACGAAAGAGTGATCTACACACTCGTGCTAGATGTTACTAGGAATGTGATTAGAAAGTGTGCATGGAATGATGAGGCGCCGCAAAACGCTCATGTTCCAAACCAGGTATCATTTCCCCTCCCTTTCCCCCTTCCCCCCCCCACACCACCACTTCCTGCCCCTGCCCCCTGTGCCCCCCGCACCCTGCGCGCTGAACTCTGCCGTCTGCCTCTTTGCAGGTTCAGCAAGTACAGGGAGCATCGGTTCCACCCGTCGCTGTCACACACACGGCGCCTCCTCTTCTCCTCCTATCCCCCTCCCTCCCTCCGTTGCCCCCTGCCCCCTGCCCCTCTGCAGCTTCAGCAAGTTCATTGAGCATCGGTTCCACCCGTCGCCGTCACACACCCGCCACTCCCTCTTTCCTTCCGAACTCTCCTCCTTACCTTCTCTTCCTTCCCTCTCTCGCCGTCCGCCCCCTGCTCCCCTGCAGGTTCAGCAAGTACAGGGAGCATCGGTTCCACCCGTCGCTGGCACACACACGGCGCTTCTACCCGCACGTGCACAACCTGGATGGCTTCTTTGTTGCTAAGGTGCGCCCCGCTGCTGCTTGGGAGGGGGGGAGAGGTTGAGAGGATGGAGGAAGTGGGGGTTTAGTGTGTGTGCTCGTGGTATTGAGTCTTGTGTGTCAGCCACGTGATGCCAAACTTTTGGCCAAAAGAGGCACTCTCGCTGCTTCTAATGCTGGCCGTACTCATGTCATAGTTACTCTGATGGCTGCACCTCGCGGCAACTCATTGCAGTGTCTGTCAGTCCGTTTGTGTCACAGTTGCTCTTGCGTGCGTGCGCTCAATAAACATCTGGACTCCCTGGTTTGTCACGCTTCCCCATGCACTCTTGCTTATTCATCCTGTTCCCCTCTTTTTTATCCTCGCCGCTTTCCTCTCCCTTGTTGCATATGAGGCGCGTTGTTCCATGTTAGTGTTGGAAAAGAGCTTGTGTGTGAAAAGAACACCTGCCGTGTGTGACGTTTCCCTCTCACCATTCATTCTTGTGTGTCTGTCAGCCACGTGATGCCACCCTTTTGGCTAAAAGAGGCACTTGCTGCCTCTCATGCTGGCCTAATCATGTCATAGTTACTCTGATGGCTGCAGACCCGTCTCCCACCTCTGACACACACAGCCATATCGCATGGCCTCATATCACCGCCGCGTTTACCCGTACTAGATTCCTCTACATATTAATCAGTCGGTGCTCGAATCGTAGATATCCCGATCATCTTCATGCCTCTTCTATTTCTAACTCCATTCGTTCTGCTCAAATGTGTGTGTTGTCCATGACCATTCAGATCAAGAAGATCAGCAACAAGAAGAAAGACGAGAAGGACAAGGACGAGGATAAAGCAGGTGGAGAAGAGGAGGAGTCAGGGGAAGAGGAAGCAGGGGAAGTGGAGGAAGAAGGGGAGGAGGCTGAGGAGGCAGAATCAGGAGAGGATGAGGAAGGGGAGATGGAGGAGGATGAAGAGGGAGAGGAGGGTGAGGAAGGTGAGGAAGGAGAGGAGAAAAAGGCTGGGGTGGGTAAGAAGGGGAAGAAGAAGCGGGTGAGTGGGTCCCAGGAGAGTGCTGTGTATTTCGACGCAGCCAAGGCGAAGGAGGCGACAGTGGATCAGATGGAGAAGCGGCGGCAGCAGCAGAACGAGCGCAAGGACAAGAAGGAGGAGAAGCGGCGGCGCAAGCAGCACATGCTGAAAGAGAAGCTCAAGGCGCAGGGCGGGGTGAACAAGGGGTGGGGGGGCCGAGGCGGAGGGAGAGGAGGATTTAGGGGAGGCCGAGGTGGGAGAGGTAGAGGGCGAGGGTTTGGCGGAGGCCGGGGAGGGGGATTTGGCGGGGGCCGGGGGGGAGGCTTTGGAAGAGGGCGAGGGGGCTTCGGAGGTGGTAGAGGAGGGGATAATTTCTAGACTAGGTTGTGTATGAACCGTTCAAATGCAGCTTATTGTTGCTTATGGCCAGGGTTTGTTACCAATTTGACTAATAGTGAGACCTGGCTGGTCTGCCGACGAGCAGCTGCCCTGCCGGGGTATTGTGCAAGGCTACTAACATTTCTGCAAGGTTTCATGAGGGTATTTTCAAAGTGGATATATATCATATCTGAACTGGAGTGGGTGTTACAGTTCCTGACGTCATGGGGAGCTTTCGAGGGAGGTCAATCGAGACAAGTGACCCGCTCTGTGTCGCCCTTGTTTTCATGAATTCAACGGCTCCGACATTCGAATTGCATTTGGGAAGTCCAGCAACAAACCGCATCACCCCACAGTCCGTTTATCCTACATCCGATCCGAGCCGTCCGTGATCGTTGAGTGGACACAGTCTCCGTTCCCTCGATGCATGATCAACACGTCTCTCCACGTCGTACGCGTGGGTCGCCATGACTCACCACCCCGCCATGTCCACTATGCCTTCCGCACACATGTGTCCCATGCCAGCTCCCTGCCAGCATGTAATCAGCGCAGGGATTTCTCTCCACGCTTCTCTTCCTTCCACGAGGAGTCTTTTCCTTCCACGCTTTCCCTCCTCACTAGATGGTGATGCTGCGGCGGATCCTCGGTATAGCCCCTACTAATAATCATGGACCGATTATTCAATAATTGGGATTGGGATTGGGATTTTCTCAGTTGTGTGTTTGCTTCGGTATTGGGATTTGAAGAGTCCTTCGCACTCAGATTCGTGTGTTCTCTCCTTTCAAATCCCGGTCCTCTCGTTGCGAACAAGGCTCGACGGCTCTTCTTATGCCGGTGATGGCGTCCCAGATGCTCCTCGCGTCCAGCAGTGCGAGTGTTGCTCCGTGCAGCACTCGCCTGCTTCCTCCCTCGGGAACTCCAGCCGCAACGAGCAGCAGCATCGACAGCTGCAGTAACAGGAGCAGCATCTCTCCTCAAGCTCTTCTATCCATGCCAACCTCCCGCTCTTGCGTCCCTACTCCTTGGCGCTCCTTGCCGTCGCTGCGTCGCGCGTCGCCGTCCTTGCCTCGGCAAACCTCCGTCAGACGCCACGCGATTGAGTGCTCCCAATACAAAGGAAAATTCCCGCTCAACCCACCACCGATTCCGCCGCCATCGCCGCCTCCAGAATCCCTCTTCGCGATTCTCGCCAACACGCACACGCTCCTCCCGCTCGCGCTCGCCGTCGCCGTCCCCCTTATAAGCGGCTCCATCGTCGCGCTAGCAGCGAGTCCGCTGCAGGAGTGGTACGCGGAGCTGCAGCGGCCGTGGTTCCAGCCACCCGATTGGCTCTTCGGCGCCACGTGGTCGATCCTGTATCCAATCATGGGCGTCGCGTCGTTCCTCGTGTGGCGCGAGGGCGGATGGGCGGCTCAGAGAGGACCGTTGCTGCTTTATGGCACGCAGCTACTGGTGAATCTGGCGTGGCCTGTCGTGTTCTTTAAGATGCACAGGATCGGTGCCGCGCTGGGAGTCATAGGTAAGCATGCCTTTTCGACTAGGCGTTTCCTCCTTTTTCCCGCTCGTTTCTCCTCTCTTCCCCCCAGGCCTTTGCCCTGAGCGGAACTGCGTTTGCTCGAATTTTCTCGAACTGACTGTCAATTAGGCGTCTTCCAGGCAAATCTGTTTTATTATATCGTTGACTCTGCAATTAACATCCCTTGTGCGCCCCTGATTCGTCCGCACCATCGCCAGCTGCACGTATCCGGATCCACAAAACATTTCATCCATACCCACTTTCATCTCCCTTACCTCTCTCCTCTCTGCACCTCTTTTTTCCTCCCTCTGCGATTCCCTCCGCTTCCTCCTTCCCCCAAAGCAGCGCTCCTCCTCCTCCTGGCGTGCCTCACGCTCCTCTCCTTTGCCACAGTCAGCCCGCTGGCATCAGCTCTCTTCCTGCCCTACGTCCTCTGGGTGGCCTTTGCCACAGCACTTAACCTTGCGCTCTGGTTCAGGAACCAGGGCAATACACCAGGGAGAGGAGGTGGTGGGGGAGGAGGAGGGAAGAAGTGGGGCGAAGGAGGTGGAGGGGGAGGGGGTTGGGGAGGTGATGATGGGGATGGAGGGCAAGGAGTGAGTGTGAAGGTGCAGCGTGGTAACTGGGGAAGCGTTGTGGTGAGCAAGGCTTTGTCTTTTGTTTTGGGGAGGCCGGCTGCTGCTCATGCTGCTTCTACTAATTCCGCTGCTACTGCGTCTCTTTCTCGCAAGCAGCAGCGCCAACGCCAGAGGCAGCAGGACTTGGTGGCCCGACAGTCAGAGTACAAGGGATACTCGCTCGGCGCACTCAACATTGCTCCTGTGGGCACAGGGAAACCCAGGAGGAGTCATGCCGCTGGTGTGACAGACAATAGCAGTACTGACAGGGACTCTACTGGTTCATCAGGAGCTGTTGCTGGCTTAGTTGGAGCTACGGCTGGAGCTGTTAGGTGTGACTGTTCGGATGGGCCTAACGCCTGACTAGGGTAGAAAGTTCCTGTACAGTTGTGTTTGATAGTACAGGTCTGTTATAACTACTGGTAGGATAGGTTACGTAGGAAGAGTCAGCGATGTATTAGTGGAAGCACATCTTGGGTTGGAGACACGCCTTGGATTGGAAACGCTGGACTGGGATTTCCATATTACATTACTCTTCCTACACTCGTATAGGAGAAGAAAGTGAGAGGGAAAGAGGTGGGATGAACAAAACAGGAGGTTGCATCATATCCATGTTGGAAACAATCAATCTTAAGCGCCTCTGTCGTGTCGAAACACTAAGGCACAGACGAAGCGAAGCATATCGAAGCACCGGCGAGTCAACCCTCGGAGGTTGAAAGTAACTGTTGGAGGTTACGCGAAAGTCAAAGGTCAGCAACCTTTGACCTGACAAGTACAGCGCGACAGCAAGGACACACAACTGACTCGCTACAGAGCAGTTGCCCGAGTCGTCACTGTATCGAACCGCAACAGCAACAGTAAAGCAGTTACAACTGTATCTCTTCGTATTCCTTGTACTCTTATATAATCTTGTATCTCTTTGTTTTAGTCAATCTACTTTGCCCTCACATACTAGCGCAAGGTGGTTCACAACTCTTCATTAAACGCTTCCGCTATCACAACAAGTCCTACCCAGAGTTCACCCCTGCAAAGATCCTAAGGGCTTTTTCTCAGCCCAACATGGTATGAGAGCTATCAGGGGGAATTCAACTACTAAGACACCTACAACATCAGAAGGCATGGCTACTCAGAAGGAAAAGAGTTCCTCTGCTGGATCTCCCGGCACTACACCTACTCCACCTCCTGCCTCTGGCCTACAGACAGAGGAGGGTACAGCAACAAGACCCAGGGCAACATCTCCTGAGACTCCAGTAAATCAACCTGCAGGCTTCGACCAGAGCATGATGGAGAAATTCTTCTCCTTCATGTCCTTCTACGAGCAACACCAGCAATCGGTACCTGCGCAGTCACACAACAGCAACAACAACAACGACGTGACTCCAATGAGCCTTGATGGTTCATCCTACGCACGTGGAAATCAACAGCAGCAACCTACCTTTGCTCCGTACGAGCCCCAGCGCGGCTCCGTCAGCTTCATGCCGCAACCTGCATCTGGACAAGAGAAAACACTGGACGCACTACAAGTTCAATCGCAGTTCGCGCATGTCCTGAAACTGCAGACATCAAGACCCTTCGACGGAAAAGACTTCTTCACCTGGTCATTCGAGTTCGAGCTGATGATGGAAGGCGCGCAAATCCTCGGTTTCTTCGACTGATCTCTGCCATACCCAACAAACGGCACACAGTATGAGAAGCAGCAGTACACCTATCAATCGATGATGGCGTACACGATTCTACTGAGAAACATCACCCCGACTCAACAGCAAAATATTCGGTCTTACCGGGGTTACGGCAACTCCGCGGAGCTCGCATACAACCACTTGAAGAGCCTGTATCAAGCAACAGACAGCGTAAATCAGAGTCGGCTAATGGCACAACTGACAACAGTCGAGATGAAAGCAGGCGAAAAAGGGATGGCGTATATCAGTCGCTGTCGCGAACTTCGCGACAAACTCCTTCGATGCGGAGGCTCAATCTCCGAGGAAGCCTTCGTCACAGTCGTTATCATTGGACTTGGTCCTGATTGGTGCTCCACTCGAGCTATCCTTCGAGCCCACGGGAAGATCTCCGAAGCGGCACTCTGCGCCGAAATTCATGCCGAGCAACAAGATATGGACCTGCAAGAAGAAAGACACAAGAGGAAGACATCAGCACCGGAATTCGCTTTCCACACTCAGCGACGCTACAACAACAACAACAACCGTCAACAACCGAAGCCCGTACCTCCGTTCTGTCACATCTGCAAGACGTCAGGGCATCCACGCACACACTGCCCGAATCGACAACAGTCGACTCCACCGCAACGACAGCTTCAACCTTCAAGCAGCCAAGTGGCATCAACGCAGGCGAACCCCACGAGCCAGTCGCAGTCTTCAACGACACAATCTGCACAAGGAGCAAGAAATATCATCAGCTGCATGGCAAGATTGTCAGACTCCTGCATCACAGAATCACCGCCGCACTACTCACCAGAAGAACAACTTGAAGAATCCACTCCTCGCCGCGAGACACTGGAGCCAAACCCGACATACGCAGCCATCGCCCAAAGCGAGCCGTCCGGAAAAGACACTTGGTTCTTGGACAGTTGCTGCGGACAACACATGTGCTCCTCGGGACGCTTCGTTCAACGCGAGCACCAACTTCAACGCGAAGTCGTCATTACAGTTGCCAACAATCAGAACCTGCGCACACGACGACAAGGCGTAGTTCAACTTCAGTCAAGGGAAACAAACGTTATACTGCAGATGTCAAAGGTACTAATCGCGGAGGGACTCGGCTACAACCTACTAAGCGTCAGCCAATTGATGGCAAAAGGCATTCACCTTGAAACAGACAGCCCCACCCAAGAATTCAAGCTGTATCACGGAAGAGGAGGACTTTACATCGGGAAAGCAGTTTTGAAGAACAACGTCTTCGTTCTCGACTTCGTTCCAGACCTTGGCACCGCCGACAGCGACGGGATCGTCACCTTCACATCCTGGACGCACCCACCAGATCTTGACCCGAACTTCAGTCCTGAAGGATTCTGGTACTCGCACACCATCCCTGAAGCAGAAAGAACAAGAGCGTTAGCGACAATTCAACATCGGCAGCAGCAGAGACAACATCGGCAGCAGCAGAGACAACATCGGCAGCAGCAGAGACAACATCGGTAGCAGCGGCAACATCAACACCAATCGCTGGTCCTTCAACGGCACCGATCTTCACTGACGACACACCACCGACACCCGCGCAGCAGCTAAAACCGGCACCACGAGAAGTCCATCGAAGCGCCAACTTCACCGCCAGCTTCTATTCCAACTCCGACATGTATCGGCGTTCACCCGGACATCGCGCCACTGAAGGAACATGGCACGCAAGAATGGGACACCCAAGCAACACGGTGTTAAACAACACGATAAGAGCAGGCGTCCTCGACAAAGACTCTCTACTCCTAACTGACGGCAGAGAGCTTCAGCGAGCCCGTGGAACATGCTTCACTTGTCCCGAAGCTGACTTACCGCACCAACCGTTCGCGTCTCACCACAATCCAAGCGCACCAGCTTACGCACCACTCGAGAAGGTGTACAGCGACATTCTGTACAACCGCGAGCCCGGACAAAACGCCTACAACTACACCATCACCTTCATCGACGCCGCCACAAGATATGTCTGGCACCTAAACCTCCCGAGCAAAGACATGGCCTTCGAAGCCTTCGTTGCGTGGCTCCCAGTAGCGGAACGAGAATCGGGCGTCAAACTAAAAAGCTTCCAGTCAGACGGGGGAGGAGAATACACCTCAACGAGGTTCAAGGACTACTTGGCAGAAAGAGGAATCAAGCGACTCATCTCCCTTCCCTACGCCCATCAACAGCAGGGTGTAGCAGAAAGGATGAACAGGACTCTCCAGAACACCATGCGCAAGCTGCTACGTGGCATGCACCTGCCCAACCACCAGTGGCCCGAAGCAATGGACCACGCAGTCATGCTGCACAACTTGCTCTCGTCATCATCGCTCCCGAACAACGCATCACCGCATCTGCTGTGGACAGGAAAACTGGGCAGCACAAAAATGTTAAGGGTTTTCGGCTGCATGGTACAGTACCGGCCCCCATCTGCACGAGCCGGCCGTTTCTCCCAACGCGCACAGTGGGGACTACACCTGGGCATCGAAAAGCATTACAACGCATGGAAGATTTTCGACGTCGAGACAAAAGAGACAGTGGCAGCACGTGATGTCATCTTCTACGAAAACCTCACCCTCCGATATTACCTCGCCAACTTACAAGAAGGAAACCCCGACCGCTCGGATGGCTTCCGTGGCACCCGAGCCTTCGCCTCGGCAGAAGATGGAGCTGACTGGGACGAGCATAACGTGGACAGAGCCTCGGAAGAAGCCGGACCTCTCCCTTACTGCTGGGTGGATGTTCCCATGGACGACGAAAACCCACGCGAAAGCATCAACGCCGAAGTCTTCTACCACTTCGCTGACGATGGTTACGTTACACCTGAACGAGTCAACACCAACGAAGCAGAACGCGTAGGGCCAAACTTCACACCTGACCCAGAAGCGGGAGACGAAGCAGTTTATCCCGCGGACACAACACTCCCTCGATACACACAGAGCGGACTCCAAATCCTTGGCCTCGTCACCGCAGTTCACGGGGCGGCCATTCCTAAAGAGCCTGCGACGGTACAGCAGGTTCTGGGGGGGGAGCATAAAGAAAAATGGCGCGAAGCCATGGACAAGGAGCTGAAGGCACTGGAGGAACGCAACACGTGGAAAGTAGTTCCTATCGGCGTGGCACGGAACAAAACAGTACTCACCGGAAAGTGGGTCTTCCGTGTGAAGACAAAGGCTGACGGCACCATCGACAAGTTTAAAGCTCGCTGGGTCGTACGCGGCTTCGACCAAGAACACGGACGCGACTTCACCGAGACATTTGCCCCGGTCAGCCGACACACCTCGCTGCGAATCCTCCTCGCGATCGCCGCCATGAAGAAGAAGAAGCTGCGGCAAATCGACGTTGCAAATGCATTTCTCTACGCACCTGTTGACACAGAAATCTTCGTCGAGCTACCGCACGGCTCCAACGGAGATCCTAATCAAGTCTGTCAGCTGCTGAAGTTGCTCTACGGCATCAAGCAAGCTCCGCGGCTATGGCAACAATACCTACACGTTCGCCTCATTCGCATCGGCTTCAAACAACTGCCGCATGATCAGGGCATGTACCGGCTCACGAAGAACACCGACTACATCCTGCTAATCGTCTACGTAGACGATCTACTCTACATCGGCTCGACTGAAGGCATCACAACCTGGTTTGAAGGGGAGCTACAGAAGGACCTCACGCTCACAGTCTCATCTACCGTCACACAGTACCTCGGCCTCAACATACGAGAAGAAGAGGACGCGATCTACCTCAACGCCGCAAAGTACGCCGACACCATCGCCAAGCGCTTCGCACTCACACCGACCGCCATCTCCACACCGTACCGCTACACGACAGGAAGCAGCAAGGGAAGCTCCGCTCTACTTAAGCCCGCCGGCATACGCGACTACCAAAGGAAACTGGGCTGCCTCCTCTTTGCAGCCGTCACCTGCCGCCCGGATCTATCGTACTCTGCAAGTAAACTTGCCACCTACCTCAAGAAGCCTGAAGCGGAACACCTCTTCACTACCTCGTCAGCACCCCAACGATCGGCCTAACTTATCACAAGAACGCAACTACACCGCCTAAATTAATCGGCTACGTCGACGCCGATCACGCTGGCGACTCTGACAACAGACGTTCTCGCACCGGCTACATCTACCGCCTCGAACCTATCGGACCTATCTCTTGGCAGTCGAGCAAGCAGGAATTAATCGCCCTCTCGTCAGCTGAAGCAGAATGTATTGCACCATGTTCAGCCACCAAGGAAGGACTTTACCTTCGCGAACTGCTGGAAGAAGCGAAGCTGGCTCAGTTACCCAGCTTCACTCTGTTCTGCGACAACCAGTCGGCAATTCGCATAGCCAACAAGAACGGCTTCGCGAACAGGACGAAACACATCGCCCTGCGATACTTCTTCGTGAAGGACGAGATCGAGAAAGGGAGGCTCGAACTGTCATACTGCCCCACGTCCGAGATGGCAGCTGACTACCTGACCAAGAAGCTCGAAAAGCAGAAGTTCGAGTACTGCATGCTACTGACTGGACAGAGCCACGTCACCAGCAGCGACACTCCAGAAGCGAAGGGGAGTGTTGGAAACAATCAATCTTAAGCGCCTCTGTCGTGTCGAAACACTAAGGCACAGACGAAGCGAAGCATATCGAAGCACCGGCGAGTCAACCCTCGGAGGTTGAAAGTAACTGTTGGAGGTTACGCGAAAGTCAAAGGTCAGGAACCTTTGACCTGACAAGTACAGCGCGACAGCAAGGACACACAACTGACTCGCTACAGAGCAGTTGCCCGAGTCGTCACTGTATCGAACCGCAACAGCAACAGTAAAGCAGTTACAACTGTATCTCTTCGTATTCCTTGTACTCTTATGTAATCTTGTATCTCTTTGTTTTAGTCAATCTACTTTGCCCTCACATACTAGCGCAAGGTGGTTCACAACTCTTCATTAAACGCTTCCGCTATCACAACAAGTCCTACCCAGAGTTCACCCCTGCAAAGATCCTAAGGGCTTTTTCTCAGCCCAACAATCCATAGTGTACAACTTCCACTACATCTTCCCCCCCCGTTGGTGCTGCTAGATATGGTTTGAGTGATTATGTCCAGGCCCTCAGAAGGCAGAGAAAAAAGGCTGATTAGGGGTAAAAAGGCTGTGATTTCAGTGGTGGGGGGATATTGAGGCTGCTGTGTCAGCTTTTTTTAACTTGTGTTTGCTGAAAGTTCAGTTTTTTAAAATCTGACTGTGCTGAAATATCAGTTTTTTTCTAGTCGTGTACGCTGTCTCGTCAGAGTTGTAACATAGGTTTGGGCTGAAATCCCTGTAATGGAGATTCTCGTACGTGCCCTGAATACCGGAAGTCTAGGTACACCGTTTCGACCCCGCCTCCGTCAATCACGCCGAAATGGCAAGATTCCTTGCCAACGCACTGGGGAATGGCATCATTCCCGAACATCCACTTCACTGCTGTCTTATCGCGAAGGTATCGTCGCTCCTGATTGGTTCTTTGGGCAACCACATTACTCACTGGCGAATGGAAAGTTAACAGCGCTGCAACACGCACGCACGTTGTAGCAGCACAGCACCACAAAATGGTTGCCGCGCGATTAGGAAACCCCCCCAAACCACCCACCCCGAAGCTGCGACCAGATACGTGCATGAATACATGGGGCGCGTCGCCTTGTTGGGTGGCACGGTTAGCTTGCCAACCAAGCCCGCGTCGTGAGCCCGTTCTTACATATCCCCAGGCAGTTGCTGGACTCCCCACCCCCACACCCTAGCCCGCTAGGGTTTCAATTCTGTTCATTCGCCTCTAGCACCAAACAATTTTCTGCTCGCTCTCTCAGTGCTCGGCACGCTCTCTCTGTGCTCGGCTCGCTTTCGTCTCTGTTCCGCCATGGCTGGCCATGGCGCCGTCGATGACGGTGATGCCGATCTAGACGACGCCGATAGCGTAGCCATCGAAGAAGCCCGCACGGGGCTGGATCTTCTTCTTAGGTCGTTAGGCCGCCCCTTTCCACCTCCTGCGCCGACTGCACCAGGTCCCGTTCCCATGGTGCCTGAGGAGCCGACCCTCCTGCGCCGCCTGGTGTTTCGGACACCGTACACATCGGCACGTCCGCGTCGAAGTCGTCAGCGACGCGCACAATCAAGCTCAAGCAGCAGAAGCTGAGCTTCCGGAAGTCTTCAACAACCGTCCCAGTCTCGGAAGCCGTCGTCAACGAAACCACCGCCCGCCCTGCTCTGAAGATAAACGTTCAGGAGCTTGTTGATGCCATCTATGCCGAGGCACTTGAGAAGTATAAGTCTAAGTGGGTTGAGCGTTTCCCTTGGCTTGTACTAACGAAAACTGTTCGTGGTCTGCCTGCTTTCAAATGCAGTCTCTGCACCAAGCACGCCGGTGTCAGGGGACGTTGTGGAAGGACAGGCAAAGGTGCGACCGACGTCCAGACGCAGGCGTTTCGCAAGCACGCCGGGACGAGAAAGCACAAGCTGGCACTGGAGAAGCAAGAGGCCCTGCTTGCTGCCGCGTCAAAGTAGCCCCGTATCGACGAGCATCGTGCAGCGGTCGACGCGGAGAAGGTTCGGGTCACGTCGCTGCTTGACGCGCTCCTGTTTACCAGTGACTGCGACGCACCCATGGGGACATGGGTGAAGCTGGTGCAGTATCTAGCGCGGAAGGGGGTCCACGGGTTTCCAAAGAAGGGCTATGGGACGTACTATACCACGTGAGTTGTAATAACTGTGACTGCTTGCATTGGTTTGCATACTTGCGCGGCTTCCGCTAATGATACTTGTATGTATTCTTGCAGGTACGGCTACGGCGAACTCACGCAGGCGATGGCAACGTGGTTACAGACGACCCAACTTGAGCACATCCTCAGAAGCCCCTTCATCGGCATCGCCATCGACGAAAGTACAGATCGTGTCAGGGGGAAGCATCTGATTCTCTACGCCACCTTCGTTCGAGAATCCGTAGTCGTGACGGAGTTCATGCAACTCATCACCGTGGAGAAAGCTGACGCCTCCACCTTGTTGAGTCTTCTGCTGTCTCACCTGCAGGCCGTCGGCGTTGACCTACAAAGGATTTCGGGCATCAGCACCGACGGTGCGTCGATGATGATGGGGAGTCAATCTGGATTGGTGGTTCGCCTTCGAGAGAAAGTACCCCACCTCGTCTCCTGTCACTGCATCGCACACATGTGAGTTCCGTTCTTTATATGGTGTGACATACACCTTCTTCCCAATTGTGTGGTGTACTAATACCTATTATGTTGTTACATGCAGGGAGGCCCTCGCCGCTAAGGATGCGGCAGAAGCTCTACCTGTTTTCAACATGGTGGATGATCTCATCCGCGTGGTCTCGGACCTGCTGGGGCGGTCCGGCCCGAAGCACCAGCGCTTCATGGACCTACAGGAGCTTTTCACCGAGACCATCTTGGAAGTCCAGGGCATCCATACAGTCCGGTGGCTCTCTCGGGGGGATGCGTTGCTTCGCATCCTGGCAGTGTGGCCAGCTGTCATCGTCTTCCTCAAGGAGTTCCATTCCGCCATGTTTTTGCTCGCCACATCGTACCGGTTCCACTTCTTCATGTATTTTCTTGCTGATGTGCTTGAGCAGTTGAACTTCTTGAACAAGACCTTTCAGCAGCGCCAGGTACTGTTGTAGTTGCGATTTCCACTGATACCCTGCCTTATTATGCAACACGGCTGACAGTTGTCTTCTTGTCTGTGCGCTGATTGCAGCTGGACCTGGTCTCTCTGCACGGCCAGATCAAGCGCACCACGTCACATATCGAGAGCCGATATGTTGACTGTGGTGACGACTTCGGCGGAGGCTTGAGCCGCTGGCTTTTGCCCTTCATCGAGCGCTACAGCCCAGGAAAGGAGCGTGAAGTGACTGTCGAGGGGCCTGATTCCGATGGCCGGCCGTCTACATTCAAGTTCAAGCTTCACGAAGACAAGGTCAAAGGCTACGAAGGCCCCTGTGATCACGACGCCTGCGTTGAGGTCTGCACCGCTGAACGAATCGTGGGGAACCTGGAGAAGAGGCTGAGTGACTTGGACTCAATGTCTGGAGTCCGTCTGTTCCTGCCGGATGAGTGGCCCAAGGGCAAGTCGGAGCGGCATGCACGATGCGTCGAGTGGCTGAACTCGCTGGAGACGCTGTTCAAGGCGCTCGAGGCAGAAGAGATACTGCCAGGTGGGATTCTGTTATTGTTTACGGTTATCTCCCTGCCATGCTTTTGTTTCTCGTGCTCTATCGCCGTGCCAACTCCCTCCCGAATGCCACGATCAACCGTGAACCCCGTCATGCATTGTTTCCCCATACATCTTTTTGTGTTGTGTCCCTGCCAGGAATCAACAAGAGGCAGGCCCACAAGGAGCTTCGGTTGTTCTGCTCCGTCCGTGCCGCTGCACCGAAGGGGGAGAGGACTTTCCATGATGGCCTCACCGCAATTTTGAAGACCCCTGACTGGCGGGAGAGCTACCCCAACCTCGTGCAGCTGTGGGTAGCCGTGGCGGTGATTCCCCTTAGCACTGTGGAGTGCGAAAGGGGCTTCTCTCGCCAGAACGTGATCAAGTCATGGCTGCGGAGTGGCCTCAAGGATGCGAGGCTGGGCGACTTGATGTGCATGTCGCTGATGCCGTACGAGCCTCAGTACGACGAGGTGGTCGAGATCTGGAGGAGCTACAGGAAGAGGAAGCCATTTTCTAATGCCCCAATTTCCACCCCATCCCCAGGTGAATGCAGCAAGAAGGGGAAAGCAACGGCAGCTATGCAAGTAGATGAACCCCGTGCTGTAGATGCTTTAGGCTCTAGTGATAGTGAAGAGGATGATGATGATGATGATGATGAGGATGAGGATATGTTTCACTAGATTCTCTGTAAACGTTTGATTTATATCAATGCAAAACTTGATAGCTAGGTATCATGTCTGCGGAAAATGGATCAGGCTTTACGAGAGGGTGATGCTGAACGATCAGTTTTTTTTTCCGATATATAGCCTGAAAAGTCAGGTTTTTTTTTAACAGCAACACTGACCTATCAGCCATGTACACACTCCTAAGGTTGACCAGTCAGCCTACGCCAAAACGAATCTGAGGCCCTGATTATGTCTGTTGATAGATAAGATGAGGCCTTACAACAGGCGTATCTGGATGAATGTGGTATGTGACAGAAAGTAGAGTATACTGATCCGCGTTTTCCATATTTACTGTACACAGGGTTTGCCAGCCAGCCACTTTCTGGTCCCCGATATTCTGGTTTTCGTAGAGGGTAAATTCCGTTGTCAGTCTCTATTTCCCTCGGCGTTTCCATTTTATCTCTCCACCTTGCACAACCACCACACCAAACATCAGGTTGGTGTGGGTGTGATCGCAGCAAGCAAGGGTCTCTCAGTACCTCTTTTCGAAAATCAAACACCACTTTCTTTCTCCTAGATCCTGCCATGCTGTGCCGCCGTGGCTAGCTTACTGACTGGCTCACTTTCCCGCACCGTCCGTGATGCGAAGGCTTGCGCGTCGCCCCGTGTCAGTCGCGTGCTGCGTGCGTCTCTCCGTGCATTGGCGGTGTTAGTTTCTCGTTGCAACGTTTTACGCCATGGCGGATGGTGCGCAGTTGTGGGGGGGACACGAAACGCTGGCTGCAGATGAGCCTTGCGGGGAAGGGCTGTGCGTTGAGGGCGGACACGAAGCCGTCGCGTTGGCGGAAGACTTAGGGGCGAAGACTCACGTCCGCGAGACAGGCGCTGGGATCGGCGCAGACGAGGTGGCGGAGGGGGGAATCGGCGGAGATTTAGCGGAGTACCTTTGCGCGGCCGCGGAGCCGGACGCAGTCGCGATGAACCCGCTGACTGCGATTAACGCGATGAGCGACGACGAGATGTGGCGGGATGATTACGCGGCTGCTGCTGCTGAGTGCATGGCTTTCGACGGATCGCTTGCGGACGTCATGGCTGCTGCGGGCTTAGGTGCAGACGTAATGAGTAGAGACGAGCTTGTTTCGCATGCTATGGGGACTGGGCGCATGGATGGAGATGAAATCGGTAGTGAGGTATTGGATGCGGTGGCCACGGTAGCGACAAACGGAATGGGAGACGGCGTGGCTACAGCCGGAATAGCTACAGACGGAAGTGGTGCTGAGGGAATGATGATACACGCGATTGCTACAGACGGAAATGTTGCAGAGGGAACAACGACAGATGGAACAGTCACAGTCGCAGTCGCAGTGGGTGACGGATTGGCTACAGATGGAGTAGATACAGCCGGAGCGGCTACAGACGGAGTGGTTACAGAAGGAGTGGTTACAGACGGAGTGGTTACAGAAGGAGTGTTTACAGAAGGAGTGGTTACAGACGGAGCGGTTACAGAAGGAGTGGTTACAGAAGGAGTGGTTACAGACGGAGTGGTTACAGACGGAGTGGTTACAGACGGAGTGGTTGCAGACGGAGTGGTTACAGAAGGAGTGGTTACAGACAGAGCGGCTACCGACGGAATGGTTACAGACGGAGTGGTTACAGACGGAATGGTCACAGAAGGAGTGGTTGCAGATAGCACAGCAACCGACACTATGGGGGCACAGTACTTGCCGGCAGGAAGGATGGGAGGAGACGTGGGTGAAGGGGCAGGTGCATCAGCTGAGGGGGCTATTGTTGAGGCGCCTCAAGGGGCGATGGGACAGACGAATGAAGAGGCAGGCGCAGGAGTTGAGAGGGAGAGCGGCGATGGCAGTGGGAGAAGCGATGCTGTTAACCCTAGAATTGAGGTTCATAACGGGGTCGATGCTTGCCATTACGGTGCGGAGGCTAGTAAAAGGGTTGAGAACGGTACTGAAGAGACGGGGGCGGTGAAGAATAATGTTGACGTGAGTGGGCATGGTTTGGGAGAGAAGGAGGACGTTGGTGGCGAGATGGGGAGCGCTGGTGGTGAGGAGGAGGAGAGGAAGGAGAAAAGGGACGAGAAGGGCGAGGAGGGAAGGAAGAAAGGGGGGGAGGTGGAGGAGGATGAGGAGGAAGAGGTGGATGTGGTGGGGTGTGACGAGTTAGGAGGAGGGGCGAGAGTGGGGGAAGGTGGTGAAGCTACGGTGAATAGTCAACACATTGGAATCGCTGATGACGTCATGGGAGATGGCAAAGCCGCTGATGACGTCACGGGAGATGACAAGACCGTTGGTGACGTCATGGGTGACGTCAAAACCGCTGGTGACGTCATGATTGATGACAAAACCGCTGGTGACGTCATGATTGATGACAAAACCGCTGGTGACGTCATGATTGATGACAAAACCGCTGGTGACGTCATGATTGAGGGTGAGTGTGGCGAAAGGAGGGAGATGAGAGATGGGGAGGCGATTGAGGCCGCGGATGGAGGTACGAGTGAGCGTGGTATGAGGAATATGGATGAGATGGAAGGTGGAGGTGTGGTGAATGGTGGGAGTGAGGTGAATGATGGGAGTGAGACCAAGGTTGAAGGACAGGAGCAGCGAGAGGAGGTGAGGGTTGGAGGGAGAGAGGAGGAGAAGGAGAAGGAGGGGGGTGTAAGGAAGGAGCAGGGAGAAGTGGTGACTGGCGGAGAGGGGAAGGAGGAGAAGGCGGAGGAGAAGGCGGTGGAGGAGGCGGTGGAGGAGGAGGTGGAGGAGGAGAAGGAGGAGGAGGAACGAGGAGGCGATGCTGGTGTGCGTGAGGAGGCAGGGGAGAGAGAGCTGCAGGTGGAAGCTGGAGCAAGATCGGAGGGCGATGGTGGGAAGCAGGGGCAGGAAGGAGAAACAGGGAGATTGGAAGAGGCCGAACGAGAGATAGGGAGGACGGGGAGAGAAGAAGAGGATAGTGCGAGGGAGGCAGCTGAGAAGGAAAAGGTGGCAGGCGAGGCCAAGAAACAAGAGGAGAAAGGAGAGGCGGAAGAAGAAGAGGAAGAGGAAGATGATGACGACGAGGAAGAAGACGAGGAGGAGGAGGCAGAGGAGGAAGGAAGAGGTGGGAAGAGCGGGTCAAACCTGGGGTTAAACAGAAGTGCTTCTAGGGCAGGCAGAGAGGAAGATGAAGAACCAGCGCTGTCCAAATCAGCAGCTAGAGCAAAAGCAGGAGGAGAAGCAGCAGCAGGTGAACACCTGTGGCCTGTGAGTAAGCTGGTCTCACTCATATCAACCCAAGGGGAGGTGCTATCTGAGCAGGTGGTGACTCTTCAGCAGGTGGTTCTGGAGCAGCAACGGCTGGTGCAGCAATGCTCCGTGGAGTGGAGGGAGCAACAGAAGCAGATCCAGCAGCAGGTGCGGCTGCTGCAGGTGCAGCAGAAGCAGCAGCAGCAGGCGCTGCAGCAGCAGCAGCAGGCGGAGGAGGAGGAGCAGCAGCGGCTACAGGAGATCACCCAGCGGCCGCGGTTCAAACGACCCACGGACTGGGAGAGCGAGTGGGAGCGCAGGATTGGGAAGACAAGCGCAGGAGCAGGAGGAATAAGGAGTAGAGGAGAAGGAGGAGGGGGCGGGGAAGGAGTAGGAGGCGGAGCAGGAGGAGGAGGAGGAGGAGGAGTAGGGGGGAGAGGAGGAGACGGAGGAGGGGGGCAGTTGGGGGGACAGGGAGGAGGAGGGGTGGAGGATGTGGGGCAGGTGCCGAGTCACATGTACATGCAGCAGCACCTGCTGCTCCGGGGGCAGATGCAGCTGCTGGAGGAGCTGGGGGAAGAGGGCACTGAAGCCACGTGGGAGAACCCTCTTGAGGAGGCAATGGTGGGCGCTTTGCACTTGTCCTCTGCTCTCGCTGCTCTCTGCTCGTTGCTCCCTGTTCCTTGCACCCTGCGCCCTGCTCCCTGCTCTCCACCTGCCTTTTCGGCGCTGGGATTGTCCCATTCTTTGAGTAATGCACCCACTCTCTTCTTCTTCATTGATCTCCATCTTTTTCAACTCTTTCTCAGGCTCTCCTCTTCCTCTCCCCCCGCTCTGCTCACAGCCTCTCCTGTTTCCTGCTCCCCTTTTCTCTCCCCTGTTCCCTCCTCACCCATGATTACACCCCGTTCTTACCCTCTCTATCTCGTGTTGTTGCTTCGCCCTGGCCCTCCCTGCAGGCGTCCATGTTACTGCACCCAGACGCAGGTACCGTACTGTACCGTACCGTACCGTCATTCCCTGGCACTGCACTGCACTCCACGCTGTTCCAACCTCCCTCACACGATTCTCACACCATTTTCATTCCAGTATCACACACACACCAGTTCCCACCATTCTTCCACCAGTTCCCCACCATCCTCGCACGAATCCCCTCTTAAACGTTGACATTCCAACTGCTTTTCACCTTCATCATACCCACCATCCGTCTGACTCTCAAGCCGCTTCAAATCTGCTCACCTTTCTCCGCCATTCCTCCTCAATCTCACATCTTCCGCCAACCATTCCCCTCTACCGCTTTCTCTCTTTCCCCTCTCCTCATTCTGTTGTTTGTACCCCCCCTCTTTATCTCCTCCCCCCTCCCCCCTCCCCTCTCTCCTCTCCCCCATCCCTCACTCGTGCATGACCACACGAGCACGGCACAGATTCAGAGGCAGCGTTGCAGCAGCACCTGGCGCTCTTCTTCTCGCTAAAGGACACCATCACTAAGAAAGAGGCCCGCGCTATTGCCACTGCTGCTGCCACCTCCTCCTCTCATGTGGGTTCTGGTTTTGAGTTACCCCTCTGCCTCCTCCTTGTTTTGTCTTCTCCTCGGCCTTCTCCTTTTTTACCCAACCCCCACTCCTCCCTCCCCCTCCCCCCCAACCCCTCCTTTTTTTTTTGTTTTTGTTATTTCTTTTGTTTTGTTCCGCTTACCCGCTTCTCCCTTTCCGCGTTGCTTCCATTTCTTCTCCTTGTTGACCCTTTTGAATCCGCATGGTTCGTCTCCTCTTGCCTCCCTACTCGCACTTCCTCGTCTCTCTCGCCTCTCATCTCCCCCCTTCTCTGCCCCCCTCATCCCCCCCTCTCCGCTTGGCCCCAATATAACGTCAGGTTCGGGAGGTTTTTGGATCCTTCCGCTCCCATATACGCTCCCTGCTCCAGTCATTACCCACCACGTGTCCTGCACCGCAGCACAGACCAACCACCACAGCCACCAACAGTAACACCACCACCAACAACAGTGCCTCCCTAGTAGCGGCTCATCTCCCTGTCTCACAATCAGCATCTCTCTGCCTGTCCTTATCCCCAGACACACCCAAGCACCTTGCTCCCAAACCCACTGCTGCCTCTCTTCCCCTCTCCCAAACACCTGGTCAAACCGCACTTTCGGTCACCAGCGCTGGCGCCAATGGTGGCATTGCAATCAGTGCAGCAGCCTCTAGCAAACCGTCTGCACCACACCCGCTCTCCTCCCCCTTGCCTCACACAACCACTCCTCACCCCCCTGTATCAGGGTCGAAACCTCATCTCGCTTCCAAAACTCCGGTGGTGACAAACCCCCTGCCATACAAATCCCCAGCAACCCCCCCAACCCCTCTAACAGCAGCGTCTAGACTCCCAGCAGCACCCCTCTCTTCTGCATCTCACCCAGTCGCCTCCCACCTTCCTGCATCTCACCCTCCCGCGTCTCACCCCCCACGCACGCGGGCGGCTCTGGTGGCAAAGCGGCGATCGTCCATGCAGGGAGGAAAGGAGATCTCAGCGTCTGCTCAGAATAAGGAAGCACCAGGGGAACGCAAGAGAGGGGAGGAGGAGCGAGCAGGGGAGGTAGAAGAGAGGCCGAGAGAAACTGACCTAGATGTGCTTCTATCTGATGCTGAACGCGCCCTTTCCTTCTCTGCTGGCCCGGCTGCCAACACCCCCTCCTCCTCGTCTCGCTCTGCTCTCTCCTCGACTCCTTGGTGGGAGGGGCTGGAAGAGAAAGCGGCAGCAGCGGCACGAGAGGCAGAGGCTGAGGAAGCGAGCGCAGCAGCAGCAGGAGGAGGAGCAGGAATAAAAGCAGGAACCCATGGCTATTTCTTGCCCTCCTCGTCTCCAACCGCTTCTGCTGCGGCAGCTGCAGCGGCTGCTGCAGCAGGTGCCTCACCCAGCAGTGCATCTGCACGGGCTGGGTGCCAAGTTGCGTCTATACTGGCCTCTCACCTGCGCCAGAGCACAGGAGGCTTCACTGCACAGCAGGCGTCGCTGCTGCAGCTGCTGCTGGTTCGGCCAGTCTCGAGCCTGCGCAAGTGAGCATGGTAGTTACTGCAAGTTAGTGGGGGAAGGGGTGTTTTTTCATCCCCAGGACATTAAGCTTTGCTTGTGGCTCGTATCGAAGTTGCCATATACCTCTCTCATTGCCGTGGCACTCTCGCTTTCGCACTCACATACACACTCACACACCGACGTTCCTGTTTCCGCATATTTGATCATCTACATGTATGTGCGTCCATCCACGCATCCCGTGCCGTGCGGAGCAGGCTACTGGAGGTAGAGAGCAAGGCGCCAGCGCTGGCAGCATGGCTCAGGCATGCGGCAGAGGAGAGCCAAACCACCATCCTGCTGCTGCTGCTACAGGTGGGCCCCATAACAGCCGCTGCTTCCTCTTCCACCTTCTCCTCCTCCTCCTCCTGCTGCTGCTTCGTTCGTGCATGTCGTTGCTTCTGCGCGTACTGCTGCAGCGTGTTTGTTGCATGTCGTGTGGTAGCGTGCTTGCATGATTAACTGCACAGAAGCAGACTCTCTTCTTGGGGACGCAAAACATCATCGTCAGGGTTCATACTATGTAACCCGTTTTTCTCGTCTCCTCCTGCTTGTTACCACCCTCCCCTTCCTATCTTCTCCCCTCTCTCCTTCCCAACTACTCCGACCTCACTGTCTCTCTGCTTCCCTCTCTCTCTCACTCCCCCCTGCATGTCCCACACCTACCCTCCGCCCCAGTTACTGGCAGCCATACCAGTGACGCTGTCTGACCGGCCGGTTCTCACATCCCTCAAGCCGCTGCTGCAGGGTCTTTGCTCCTACGACCCCTCAGGTGGGCATGGCACCGCACCGCACCGGCCAGCACAGCACAACACCGCACCGCACTGCACGACACCCTATTGCGACACGTCACACCACATACATAGCACTGGAATGGAAAGCACAGCACGGCCCAGCACAGCACTGATGACGTGGTTTTCATTTCAATCGCTCTCGTTGCGCGCATTGGTATGCCATTTGATAGCACGGCACGTCACGGCATACTTAGTCCATGAATGAACGCATGGCAGTGAGTGTGTTAAGGCTGAATGCGCTTCTATTCAGAACTCTCAAAGAATGGCTGCTGTGAGTGCTGGATGGCAGTGAGTGAGTGAGTGAGTGTTTGAGTGAGTGAGAGCTGCTGTGCTGCTTGAGTGCTGGATGTTCAGAGCTCCCACCACTTCCCCTTCCTTTTTCTCGCTCCCCCTTCCCGCTTCCCCCTTCCCCCTCCCTTCTTCCCCTTTCCCCCTTCCCTTCCCCCTTCCCCGTTCAACCTCCCCCGTTCCCCGTTCCTCTTTCCCCCTTCCTTCTTCTCCTTTTCCTGCTCCCCATTTCCCCCCTGCGTCACCCCCAATCCACCCACACACCCATGCTCCCCACTGCCCTCTCAACCCTCCCCACTTTCCCCTCCCCCCCCACCCCCCTTCCACTGCAGCCCCCCATCAGTGCGGGTGAGCCACGGAGCCCATGCGCTGCTCCATCCTCACTCAGTTTCCTGTTCCCCTTGCCCCCTCTGTCTCACCTCTCCAACCCAACCCCCATACACCCCCCACCGCCCTCCCCATCCTCCCCACTTGCCCCCCCTCCACTGCCCCACCAACCCCCTTGCACGTCCCCATCAGTACGCGTGAGCCACGGGGCCCATGTGCTGCTCTCCTCGTGGCACCCCATCCTCACCCCGCCGCTCGTCCCTCTGCCCCAGTCGCCCCCGCTCTCTGCTGCCACCAGGCCGTCTCTGCACAAGGGCGGGAGAGGTGAGTGAGTCATGGGGCGCCGCCGCGTCAGGAGAGGAGAGGAGTAGCGCTGGGAGGAGGAGTTTTACGTGGGATATTTGATTTCAAGTTAAGGGGGTTTTTAATTCAAGTCTCGACTGAAACATCGGGCGTTGCATTGGATTGGATGGATCATGGCACTGTGTCAAGTCAAGTCAAGTCAACCCAGGGTTGAACGATGATTCAAGGATACCCCAATGATGCATGCATGCATGTATGTGCTTCTGATGGGCCCACCCAACCGAATCACACGTCTCTTGATGGTCACCCACCCGCCGCTGCTGGCAGTGTCGCCTTCTCCCCCTCCCCCCCTTGCCCCGGCCAGCAGCGCACTGCACTTCCATCGGCTTTGCACCGATGTCTCTCTCTCGCAAAAATTCAAATGTAAAAATCCGTCTGCTCCTTCCCGCCTCCCTCACAACCCCTCCCCTTCCCCCCCACCTTTTCCCCGCTGCTCTCCCCATCCCCATCCCCTCCCGCTCTTACCCCGCCCGTCCCATGCTCGACCCCCCGTCCCTGTATGTGTGTGCTGTGTGTGTGTGCGCGCGCGCTCGCCCGTGCAGTGCTGCCCCCGCCATCAGCAGCGCACTACCGCCGCATGCGTGGTGCTGCAGCCAGCAAGCGATTCGCAGACCTGGCGAAACGAGCGCAGATAGGCGAGTGGGGTGCTGTGGGGTGGGGTGGCTGGGGAAAGGGTGGAATTGGGTGGGATGGGGGGTGGGGAAAGGGTGGTGTTGGGTTGGGTGGGGGGTGGGGAAATGTTGGACGGAACTGGTTGCAAGTGGGTCCGTTGCTCCCATGCTGCCATGCCACCATGTCGTGCTCTCCCTCCTCTCCTCTGCTTCTCTTCCTCCATGCCACTGCTCTCACACCCTGCCCAACTGGTCCTTCCCTTCCTCCTTCCCTTCCCCACCCCTTCCACCTTTCTCCACCCACACCCTATCACACCCACCCTGTTCATTACCAGGCAAGGTTCTATCTCGTCGCCGAGAGATCACTTCTCCCATGGCCGCCCAGGTATTCAACCCATGCTCTCCACCACCTTCCACCACCCTCTACCATCCTTCACCGCCTTTCTCCAAAGTCCACCTCAGTACTGTTGAATCGCTTTTCTTGCACCCTTGTTCTCGACTCCCTTCTTCCCACCCCCTCCTCTGCCATCGCTCCCGTAGCATGCAGCTATCCCCCTCCTGCCCTTCACTGGTGTACCGTACTCCTCTTTCGCTCACGTGTAATCCCATGACCGCGAGTTCATGTATGTGTGTTTGCATCTGCGTCTGTGTGTGTGTGTGTGTGTGTGTGTGTGTGTGTGTGTGTGTGTGTGTGTGTGTGTGTGTGTGTGTGTGTGTGTGTGTGTGTGTGTGCGTGTGTGTGTGTGTGTGTGCACACGTGTGTGTGTGTGGGTGTGTGTGTGTGTGTGTGTGCGTGCGTGCGTGTGTGCGTGTGCGTGCGTGCATGTATGTGTGCATGTGCGTGCGTGCGTGTGTGTGAATGTATGTATGTGTCCATGTGTGTCACCAGCAACCCTCTGTGACATCCCCAACCAAGCACGCCTCTCAGTCAAAGGGCCTTCGTCTCTCAGCCGACGATGAGCAGCAGCGATTGCTCTCAGGCAAGAATTCTCCTCCCCATCTCCTCATCTCCCTGCCCTCCTCTCTCCCCTTCCCTGCCTCTTCTCCGTACTCTCTCATTTCCCCTCCGCTCGCCATTTTTCTCCTGCCTTTTGCACTCTTCGCTCTCTCTTTTCTCACTCCTCTCACTCCCTCGCTCTTTCTCCCTGTTTATCCCTCCCTCCCTCCCTCCCTCCCTCCCTCCCTCCCTCCCTCCCTCCCTCCCTCCCTCCCTCCCTCCCTCCCTCCCTCCCTCCCTCCCTCCCTCCCTCCCTCCCTCCCTCCCTCCCTTCCTCCCTCCCTCCCTTCCCTTCCGTCCCTCCCTCCCACCCTCCCTCCCTCCCTCCCTCCCTCCCTCCCTCCCTCCCTCCCTCCCTCCCTCCCTCCCTCCCTCCCTCCCTCCCTCCCTCCCTCCCTCCCTCCCTCCCTCCCTCCCTCCCTCCCCTCCCTCCCTCCCTCCCTCCCTCCCACCCTCCCTCCCTCCCTCCCTCCCTCCCTCCCTCCCTCCCTCCCTCCCTCCCTCCCTCCCTCCCTCCCTCCCTCCCTCCCTCCCTCCTTCTCTCCCTCAGGCGACAAGCGCGCAGTGATGGTATCAATAGCCTCGCCGCCCCATGCATCCGGCAAGCCTGTTTAGAGGCGCCTCACAAACTAACGCTCTCTCCTCCTCCCCCCTCCCTCACTCCCCCTCTCAGGCGACAAGCGCGCAGTGATGGTATCAATAGCCTCGCCGCCCCATGCATTCGGCAAGCCCGCATCGCACAACCGCCCCCTCTCTGCAGACGAGATCATGCATGCCAAACGCCGCCGCATGTTGCAGCAGCAGCAGCAGCCAGGGAAGAGAGAGCCAGAAACAATGATGGGAGAGGGAGAGAGGGTGGTGGGGATGGGCGGGGTGCAGGTGAAGTGTGAACTGATGGGTGAGAAGGAGAGTGGAGCAGGGGTGGGCGTGGTTGGGGCTAGTTTGACTGGGAAAGCGGGTGAGGAGGAGCATGGAGGACAAGGCGTGAAGCAGGAGAGGAATGAGGAGGCTGTATCAGCAGCAGCAGGAGGAGGAGCAGGAGCAGGAACAGGAGCAGGAGCAGAAGCAGCATCAAATGTAGGGCCGAAGAGGGAAGAGGTCTGTACTGTGACCAAGGCAGCGCCAGCCAACATGTCTGCTCGCCTGGGCAGCAGCAGTGGCGGCAGCGATGGGTTTGGGGGAATCACTCGCTCCTATGTGGGCCCTGCTCGCCTGAGGTTCATGGGCAGAGGGGCAGGGCGAGGTGGTATGTCAGCAAGGGGAGGTGCAGGGGCAAGAGGGGTTGCTTCTCCTCCTCCTCCTCATCCTGCTGCTTCTGCTACTGCTGCTGCTGCTGGCAGGGTGCGAGTGGATGGGGGCTTGGACTGGGGAGGAGGGGGCGTGGAGAAGGGGCGGAGTGGGCCGAGAGGTGCTGCTGGTGGGGGGGAGTGGACGATGGGTGCAGACACGAAGGATCATATGCGGGATGTTGGGAGCAGGGTGGTGCTGACAGGAGCAGCGTCAGCCACAACAGCAGGTCCAGCATCAGGAGCGTCAACAGCTGCAGCAGCTGCAGCGGCGGCGGTTTCGGCGGTGTCGGCGGCGGCAGCAGGAGGAGTGGGTGTGCGTGGAGTGAAGCAGGAACCTGAAGTGATGGATTCACTGTCCGCACTCACTCACGGCGGATTGCCAGCCTTTAGGGGAGTCATTTCAGCAGCAGTAGAGGCATCAGCAGGCGAGCTGCGGCAGAGCGTTGCTTCTTTTGAGGATTCTCAACGGGGTGTTGCGTTTGAGAATCGCGCACAGGGGGCTACAGTGGCGGCAGCGTTGATGGCGGGAGTGGTGGGCGGCGCAGTGGGGCTTGGGGGAGCGGGGCAGATGGCGGATGCAGGGCAGGTTGAAGCAGGTTCGTGGGCGCCCCAGGAGATGGAGATTGGGCCACAAAAGGTGGCTGCTGCAGCAGCTGTGGGGTCTGTAGCAGCCTCTGTAAGAGTCGAGGAATGTAGGGGCGGTGAGGGAGGTGAGGAGGGTGAGGAGGGTGTGGGGGGTGTGATGGATGTGGGAGGTTCGAGGGGTGAGGGGGGTGTGGGAGGTGGGGAGCGTGAGGATGCAGATGAGGGACAGATGGGAGCTGCTGATGTGGGTGCTGCTGGTGCTACAGGGTGGGCAGAGGAGGCTACAATGGGTGGTGCCGCAGGGGCTATGGAGAGTGGAGAGGCTGCCGAGATGTTGGGGGTTGCAGAGCATGCGGGGGGTGTGGGGGGTGTGGGGAGCACTGCGGTGGATGGTTCTCATGTGGAGTGTAACCGGAACGAGCCAGGGGTTGCTGCACCGGTGAGCGGACGAGCAAGGGATGGGGCGGTATGCGTGGGAGTAAGGGAGGAAGAAGCTGGTGTTGGTGTGATGGGTGGTGGCGGAGGGAGTGGAGAAGGAGGAGAGGAGGAGGCTGTGGGGGTGAGGGTGGAACGTTCTGGCGGTGAGTGTGCAGCAGCAGAGGGCAACGTGGGGAGTGAACAAACAGGGCAGCTGAGAAGTCCTCTGGATGAGGGTAGACAGAGTGAGGGGGGTGAAGCTGCTGTGGCTCCTGTCCCCGTGGCTTCCTCTGCTTCAGATTTGATGAGAGGGCCGCGAGAGGAAGTGGCGGCAGCTGTGGGGGCAGCAGTTACGGGGGAGCTTGGGCTGGAGGTATTAGGAGATGAATCAGAGGCACACCCTGCTGCTGCGGCGGCGGCGGTGGTGGCGGCGGCGGCTGCTGTTGGTGGGGCATCAGGAGGGTCGGGGGGGATTTCTGTTGTGGAAATGGGAGTGGGAGAAGGAGCAGGGCGGATGGGTGTGAAGGGGGAGAGTGGGGGAGTCAACCGGGTGTTAGGGGCAGTGGTGGGAGTTGATAGGGAAGAAAGTGCCGGGGGGATGAGGAAGAGGGCAAAGGTTGAGGGTGAGGGAGTGGAAAGGCGGATGGCAGAAAAAATTGCAGTGGCTGGGGACGGAGGGAAGGAGCAGCGGGAGGAGAGTAAAAAGGAGGAGGAGGAGCGGAAAGTGAAGGAGAAAGACAAGGAGGAAGAAGAGGAGAGGGAGGAGAAAGCGGAGAAGGAGGAAGAAGAGGAGGAGGATGAGGAGGCTTTAGATAGAATGGTGATGGAGATTATAGGGGTGCCAAACAAGGGTAGGGCGGAGCAGCACATGAGTGGCATGGGTGGTGAGGAGACGGCTGAGATGCGCAAGCAGGTGGCGGCTATGAGGATGGGCATGGTGCTGTGGCGCAAACCACCTAGTAAGTGGAAACCCACGTTGCCATCATGATGGATGGTGGTGCTTGCTTGCTTGCTTTCACTTGCTTGCTTGCTTGCTTATAGCCTGCACACGCTATACGGCACGCTCATTTTGCCGCCCCGCTCTTCACCTGGAGCCATCCACGTAAATCTCAACAAGCCTTCCTTCCCATCCGCCTGGTTGCCCTCCCTTTCCCCCCTTCCTCTCTTTCTAACCATAACCGAGTCCCCCTTCTTAGTTGTCCTTTTTCACCACCCTTCTTCTTTGCTGCACCCCCTTCGATTGCATGCGTGCAGGTGTCCTCCACTCACAGCCCAGCCCAGTGGTGGTGGCGCGCAATCTCTGAGGCGCCTCATGCGCGCTATTTTTAGGCGTCTCAAAGATTGACTGCTTACCCGCCCTGCTTCCGTGCTGCCACCCATATGTGCATACAGGTGGCCTCCACTCACAGTCCAACCCTGCGGTGGTGGCGCGCAATCTTTGAGGCGCCTCATACTTCCACTACCCACCACCTTCCCTGCTCCCGTGCTGCACCCCTTGCTTGCTTGCCTGCGTGCAGGCGTCCTCCACACGCGCTCCAGCCCGGTGGAGGTGGCGCGGGGCGAGAGCAGCAGCGAGCTGAAGCGAGTGGAGCACCACATTGCATCGGTCATCGCCAGGGGCGTGCGCCGCACTCCTTCCTCCCATGCCTGGTCGCCCGCCGAGCCTGCCCTTGAGAGTGACACTGCAGAGGAGGTGGATGATGCTAGGACGCCCGTTATTTCTACAGTTGTGCAGAGGAAGGTGGGGGAGGGTGGGGGTGGGGGAGCGCAGCAGTGGCGGGGTGGGCTGGAGGTGGGAGGAGGGGGGAGAAGTGGGGAGTGGGTGAGGCAGGAGCCATACCAGCAGCGGCAGCGGCAGCAGGAGCGGATTCAACAGGCGCACCAGCATTCGCATGTGCAGCATCAGCAGCATCAGCATCAGCATGCGCAGGGGACTCATCGGCAGTCACAGCAGCAGTTGCAGCACGTCTCACAGCAACCGCACTATCCGTATAAGCAGCAGCAGCAGCAGCAGCAACAACAGCAACGACAACATCATTTTGAGCCACCACATAAGAAACAGCGTCAGCAACACCAGGAAGCGCATTGGCCGCATCCTCATCACCACCATCAGCATGGGCAGCAGCGGCAGCAACATCAACAACAACAGCATCAGCAGCATCATGAGCATGAGCATGAGCATTATCTTCAGCAGCATCATGAGCCTGTGGTACCAGAGGAACAGGAAGGCCTGGAGCAATTTGACTTTGAACCGCAGCTGGAGGGACAGGTGGGACCTGGGGAAGGCTATGATGACCAATGGAGGGAACCACAGCAGCAGCAGCAGCAACAGTATGAGCAGTATGTGCAGGGGTGGTCTGAGGAGGAGTTTGCATTCAGAGAGCAAGGATACGGGGAGGAAGAAGAGCAAGCTTGGGCGTACAACGATCACTCGCGTGGAGGAGGGCAGAGAGCAGAGACAAAGAACCACAATGTCAGGCAACTGAGCAAACCACTAACTTAGCAGAAATTTGGTAGCATTTGATTTTCTTCCCCATTGTATCTTCTGTCTCTACCCGTTGCTCTCTTTGGTCTGGTCTGGTCCTTTGTTCTCGTTGCTTCATTCTACCAGGTAAATCCTTTCTCCTGTCTAGCGCTATGCTCTGCTCTCCTCTGCTCTTCTCTGCACCGCGAGGCGCTCATGCATGCCTGCTCATCAGGGGCACATGCATGCCACAGCTTGTGTTGAAGCCAACGAAAGCTAATGAAACTGCAAACGGCATGCCTATGCACCTCATAGTGAGCAGCAAACAAAGGCTTTTTGGAGCAAATCGGCGCATCTCCCTTCAACAAATCTTATCCGGGCAGAATTATTCTAACTTACACAAGTTGGTGTGGCACATCTGGAATCTGAGCTCCGGTCTGAATTCCGGAGTTTGATGTGCTTGTTATCTACCTATGTATTACTCTTCTCCCCTTCTCTGTTTACACCATCTCCACTTGCGCTACCTGTATTCCACTGTTGAAGTCTTCATCCTTGTTCAGTGCAGTGTGTACCGTAGTACTTCTTTACTCTGGCTCCTCCCCTCCATTACCCTTTCTTCTAGCTCATTGTGACTCCATATTCTTCCACGTTCACCCCTTCCATTCGCTCGTGTGAATGCAGTGGTCGGGCATGTGATGATGACATGGAATGCCAAAGCTGGAGCATGTGCAGTGCACTAAACATGATTATGAGCATGTGTTTTCTGCGAATTGAGATACTTCAGGATAAGTTGGTGTATATCATGATTCGTTGTTTGCATTTAGTGTTATTCTTGAACCTTTATGGCGATGGGCTCCTCTGAAACTGACTCTAGCACCTGTATGATAATGCACTATGGAATGGCATTGTTAAATGTGATAAACAGTAGTGAGGCATGTCATACAGGGTACAAATATTAGGGTATGTACCCTCACTGATTCTAATGACATCATTCTTTCCCATTCTGAGATGGTATCAGAGCCCGGGCTGAAACAGTATTGCTGCGTGGACCTCTGACTCTTGACGTCGTCAGCATAAGAGGAGTCACAGTGACTGGTAAGTACGACTCGCTGTCTCCCTCCAAGCACAAGCCCCATGCCTGATATCGTCGCTAGGTACTTCGCCACCCTCACAGCAGTTGTCCAGTGAACAGGACGGTGTCTTCCAGTCGCAACAAAGTGAGCAAGGATGCTGAGAGGGAAGACGAGGTCCGGGCGAGTACAAGTCATCAGGTACATAAGGCAGCCCACCAGCTCTGCGTAAGGACCACTGGGACAGTGAGTTTGTGGTCCTTACGCAGAGCTGGTGGGCTGTCTCATGTACCTGATAACTTGTAGTCACCACGACCTCACCTTCCCTCTTAGCATCATTGCTCACTTTGTTGCGACTGGGAGATACCGTCCTGTTCACTGGACAGCTGATGCGAGGGTGGGGAAGTACCTAGCGACGACATCAGGGATGGGGCTTGTGCTTGGAGGGAGACTTCGAGTCGTACTCACCGGTTACTATGACTCCTCTTACGCTGAGGCCGAGATTCACGCCGGAGCCATGGCTGCACAGGAGCTGCGCTGGTCGGCCTTCTTGCTCACTGACCTTGGTGAGCGGCCGAGCTTTGCACCGACCTTGTTTACTGACAACAAGGCAACGATTCTCCTGTGTCGAGAACCTCGACTGGAGAGCAGAGTGAAGCACATCGACGTTAGGTACGTTCTCCTTCAAGAGTTGCAGAGACGCGGACAGGCTCGTTTGGACTTCGTGGCCTCCGAGGTCAACACTGCAGACATGTTCACCAAGGCCCTTCCGCCTTGTGACCACCACAGGTTCTGTGTGCAGTTAGGCCTCGTTGATACAAGTTCTCGTCTACTGTAGTCTTGTGTTCTTACCTTGCTTTGCTGTATACTTGTGAACTCTTGGACAGGCCTTGTGGCCCCTTGTTTGTGCTCGGACTGTGTGGTGACGTTGTGATCCACCCTGAGCTTTGCTTCATTGTGGCTGTTCTTGTGACCTTATGCCTTTGTTATTTCCTGACACCTCTCACTTAGTATATGAAAGTGTGTTAAATGTGATAGACAGTAGTGAGGCATATCATGTGAAGTACAAACATTAGAGTTTGTTATATATACCCCAACTGATTCTAATGATGTCATTCTCTCCCATTCTGAGAATCATATCCGCATTGAAATTGTCAAGGTAGCACTCTCTCTGGTAACTACGACTTCTATTTCTTTTGCCGTGCGTTTCGGGTGCCGCCAGAGTGTTCTGCGAGGTTGCCCGTGAAAGTGGCACACGATTGGTTGGATGTGTTTGCAAAATCCTTGGTCAGATAAAGTCGTTTGGCCATAAACTCTACCCTTTCTGGCCTGTCTGGGTTTTTTCCCAAGGAATGTCTCAACCACGGGGTCCGACGGTGGTTGACAGCCGTCGACCACCGTCGACCTGACCGACGGGCAGAAAAAAACTAAAACGCCATCGGATGGCATGCCATCCGAGGGAGGCATCAACCCTAAATCCATGCCTCCTTGTGTTTAGGGTTGATGCCTCCCTGACTGGATGCATGCCCGACCGGGGTTTTTTTTTTTGCGGCTAAGCTCGCTTGGCGGCTAAGCTATATTCTAAGGTTCTCACCAACCTAACTCAGCCAGAAACCCTAGCATACCTTCACCCGGTAAACCCGGGCGTTAATTTCCCGTTCTATTAGGCCTAGCGTTTGTCAAACCATGGCTTTCGTTAGCCGGTTCCCCCTCCTTGACAACGTTTGGCTCATGGTACGTTTGCCTCGTTTCGGTTCGCGACCCTCTATTTCTTGCTTAATTTCGTACTGATGTTTCTTCTCGTTTGCTCTAACATTTCGTAGCTTTGCAGGTGTGTGTGTGGACGATGTCTCTCTCCTCCATGTCTCACGACTTCTCAACTCCTCATTCACTTTACCCTTCTGCCGAGTGTTCCTCACATGGCTGCTGCTCTTTTCATCCTCAACTATTTCGTCATGTGTTAGTCTATGTATGTTGGCAGATCTGCAGCCACCCTGATCCCTCTTGCTAGCCCTTCATTTCATTTCCGCATTATCGCAACCTCTGTCTCCCACTTCAACGTTTTCGATTCTTATGCTACCGACTTTCCCGTGCCGCCCTTTGCCATGCGCACTTGTATGGTTACGCGCCGGCCTCCTGCTTAGGCCAGTATCCCCATCGACGCATGCTCCATTGCATGGTCCATCTCTCGCATGGCTGGTTCCTCGGTTTTGCATCCCAGTAGTCACTCCGCGCCGCCCTATTCTTCACGCGTCTTTTCCAGCCGCCTGTTTCCCTACCCATGTGGAATGGTACCATCCGTCCCTGGCATACAGCAGCGTTGCATGTGTCTCTATTTTCTCTGCTTTGTTCTCCTCCTACCTCCCCCCTCTGGCCACCCGGGCCCCCATCACCGCGACGTGCCATTGCTCTTGCATAGAGTTTTGACTCGGGAAGCTCCCTGGGCTCCCAGTCAATCTCTCTAGAATGCTTTGGTCGCCTTGGCTGTGCTTCCGCACTCTCACTGTGCCACCTGTTCACCCTTGCCTTCTGGTTTTTTTTTTTCCTTGTCGCGTCCAGCTACAGCTCGCTTCGTCTCCCGATTTTCTCCCCATGGTCGGCCCTGTACGATCTCGTCCCCTCCTTGCATTTCGATCCTCCCACTCGTCCTTAGTCCCTCACCGTTTCACTTACCCCCTTCCCCTCCCTTGGCTATCATGCTCATCCCCTCTCGACAGACGAGCTGTCGGCAGTGAAGAAGCCACACCGCGCTCGCCTCGGTGCTCATGCCCGGACCCAACGGCCTGCTCTTTCTCGCTATCCTGCGACCAGCCTGCCCCGTCGTGTTTCAGCCAGCGTTGGAGCGGCCATGCACCTCCATCATCCCCTCTCCTTTGGTTTATCCGCTCACCCATCTGCCACCCCTGCCCTGCCGCCTTTGTCATTGCTCTCACTTCTCCCCTCCTCCGTCTCACCTCACCATTTCGTTTTTCTCTGTGCCTTCCCCAACCCATTCCACCCATCTCCTCACTGCTTGACTGCACTTTGTCTCATATTTCCTCCCTTTTTGTTTGGCCTTTTCAACGGCCGGCCTTATCCCCTTGCTGCTCTCCCCTTGACCCCACTCCCGACGAGGCCCGACTGCTCTGCCGCCCCCATGCCTCCCCTTCTCGATCACTCCCCCACCTGCACCTCTGTCGCCCCCCCAGGCCCTCTGGTAGCCCCGCCTGCCCCCCGCTTCAACTGTAGCCTCAAAAGTCTTCGGCCTGTGGCAGAGATGGAACACTCATGCCGCCCCCTCATGCCACCCTGCTGCCCTACACATTCTGCCTGCCATGCTGCCCGCCTGGAAATACCGAGCCCATCCCGTCTACCAAGGCAACTGGCAGCCCAGAGAGGACCCTTGCCCTCCGCCTGCAACCTCAGCGACTAGCATCCCTTGCTCCTGCCCTAGCTGGTTGTCTAACCTATTAATTCATGCTTGCATAAGGTTCTACACAATGTTAATAAAAATAGCTCATGTTACGCCCTTTTATCGCTCTTTTCACGCCTTTTGTCATCAATCACTTTTCCATAGCCCGTGGATCCGCACACCCTCTTGCGCGGTAGTCCTTAACATAGCAGAATGTTAACGCCCCTAAGAGTTCGCTGCCTTGACGTCAACGGTATCAATACACCGGTAAAACGAACTGCTATAAAACATTGGCCGGTGGTGTCTTAGTGCATTGAAATAAGAATAAAAATTATTTATATATATAAAAAAAAACCCTACCGCCACCTTTTTTGCACATTGAGATTCTCATTTTAGTGGACACATGACTCTCTAAAACCTACCGTGACTTTCACTCCAACTCCGCCCACACTCTTCAGTCCACGCACCCACCCTACACGCATTGAATTCAAAGGGCCAACCTTGTGCGCAGCCCGGTGGCATCTCCATCCTATCCTTCAATCGACCAGTTTCTCTCACCTCCCCGTCCCCCTCCGCTGATGGCCGACTTTTATCCATTCGCATCAACTTTTTGCATGAGCAACTGCGCCTCCTCGCTATCTATGCTCCGATACACCCCACTGACCATCGGATCTGGTGGAGGTCCATCCTGACACCCGTATTGGAACAACCCACTAAAGCTGCAGCTACGGTCCTCGCTGGTAACTTTAACTCGGTAGTCAACCCTCTAGACCGCAACCGTCTGTTGCTTGGCCATGAATTCAACGAAGCCACCATGGT